CCTTTGACCTCCATTTTCTTATAAGAAATTTTTTAACTTTTTTTGTACATTTATCTCACAGGTAAAGTTAATGTGAAACATCAATGATGAAGTAATAAGAAAAAAAAAACGATAATAAATTGAAACAAATTTCACGTTTAACGAAGACAGAATGACGTTCAGTTTTACAAAGCATAAAGAAAAAAAATATTGATCCTGAAAGGATTTTAATGTCATTTAAATCGAATTTTTTAGATTTTCAAGTTTTCATCACCTTATATAAAAAGAATGACTTTTTTTATTTTTGCTATGTTTTTGTTTTCTTAACTTTCGATTTATAAGGTTATTTTCTCACTTTTCCGTATTTTTCACACTCTCCGATTTTTTTTTTTCGAAATTTGTTTCTTATTTGGTATTTTCCTTTCTTATAAAAAAGCATTTCAAAGTGTGTTTGTTCTCTATTTTTCATCTATATTTCATTTTAGGACCAAAATATATCTTGTTACAAAAAGTAGCATAATCCTTTCTCTGTCATTTATAAATGTAAATAGTTTTCTAAAGGGCAATCCAATAAAATTAGATATCGTATGTGAAATTTTCATAAGGAAAACTTGTGGCATGAATTTAGTTTTTTAAATTCGTCAATTATTGGATCCTATTAAATAATGAGTTCTTGAGTTGAAATTTTTATTTAAATTTTAAGCTTTCTGGGTGTTAGCTTTCATTGAAAATACATACTGTTATACGAGCAATTGACACTATAATTAAATATTATATTCTCTCAGTAAAATATCAAATTGCAATTGTAAAGAGTACCAATTTTAATATAGACCAATTCCTGGAATAAATATTTAAGTCACTAATACTTAATGTAAAAATTTAAAATAGTGCCGGCTAAAATGTATTCTATAGGGGAAACAGTTTGTCAATTTTAAAGTTTTAAAAGAATTGCTGAACGTGAATGCTAATTTTAAATTTCAAATTTAAAATTCTATTGGCCTAAATTTAAAATTTTTTTCAACTTAAAAATAGTTTTCTTCTTTCAATAATAATTATTTCATACTTGTTTCAAGAACCAAATTAAGATTAATGAATTTATTTTAATTTGTACAATATAATTAACGTGCTTTTAACTTACAATAGTAATTCAATAACACTTTGAATTTTCCATAAGCATTTATAGTGAGGACTTCTCATGAGCTATTCTTATAGGTTGCGAACGAAAACATCGTTTTGGGAGGATGAATTTCAAAACAAAAAATCATATGGAAAAATCAAAATTTTAAAAAAAAAGGATAAAAATGGAAAAGTTTAAAATTTTCGATTTGTAAATCGGAAAAAATTTATCTTTTCACTTACTGTTATGCTATTGCTCTTAACTTTTACTGTTGCATCTAATGCTGCTTTTTACTTTAATACTTTTATTACAAGGATTTTCATTGTACTTTGTGTATGTCAAGTTGTATATTTTTTTTTTTAATAGGATTATTCCCAAGAAATATTATTTTATAAAAAGTAGTGTTTAATTTCAGTCAACAATTTTCTGGAACAAAGTGATAAAACAAATAATGATTTCACATTAGAATAATGCGGACTGCATTCCTATTTAAAGGAATGCAATCAAATTTTTAACAAAACTACCACTAAATATGTGATATACGCCACCGCATGATTTGATGTAGTTTTATCATGAAAACATTTAGCTAAAACTAACATGAAATTCGGAATGAAAGCATATCGCCTTTAAGATAGACCTAAGAGTGTCTATCAATTTTTTTCGATTTACTCATTTAAATTAATTCACGTATCTGAGCACTGCTACAAGAGCTTTGAAACACTTAGCTTTGCTAAGTGTTTCAAAATCATGAATATTTTTCTTACAAATTCGCGCGATTAGATCAAATTCTTAGTCACAACAATCATAATTCGAAAATAATCTACAAAAAATTGATCATTTTTGAAAAAAATTCAATTGTAATTTTTGAAATTGTGAAAAATATTTTGAAAAATAGTAAGTGTAGTGTAGTTGCTCCTTAAAAATTTATACACTTTTTTAAAATCATCAAACATAGAAAAAACAATTTTTAAATTTTTTTTATTTTCTTGGAATGAGATAAAAATTGCGAAAGTAAATTTAACTTTTTTTATTTATTTATTCTTCGTTATTTTTCTTTATACTGTTACTATTTTTACAATTGCTATTGTTTCCTTTTCAAAAAACATTAATATTGTGAAAAATATCCTTGCTTAAGCAATTTATCGTCCTGTTATTTTTCTAGTTTTTTCTTTATTTTTATTAATTTTTTGACTTTATATTTATTTTTATTTATTTTTGTTCTCTATCTGCTCTGTTTATTCATTTCGCTGTTGCTGTTGCTGTTTACAACAATTACAAGCCATTCTTCTTGAGATGAACTATTACTTGAACTACTCTAATATTTAAAAGTGGAAAATAATATACCAAGAGAGACGAACACAGGACAAACAATATTTTTCTCTCATATAAATGAAAAATAAAGTTGAATCAAAGTAATGGATCATTAAGTAGCACTTTTCCTTAAACAAGTGTAAATAATTTTTTTTGAAAACAATCTAGTACTGCTACTAGTAATTACTATTTAAATTACTTTCATTCATATACTAAAATTCGTATATCAAATTATTGCATACATTTAGGATGATATTCCAGGGCATTTACCGTTAGTTCTTTTGCTCTTATAGAAAAAGTAGATAGAAATATATGAAACTGAAAACTTGAGAACTCATGAAAGTAGAAGAAATGGCATTCCTAGGACTTTGAGACCTATAAATTTTGAGAGGGCTAGATAAGGGAGAGGCTAAATAAGTTGAGGGGGATAAGCTTGAGGGGGATAAAAAATTTTCAAACAGATCAGCAAAAAAATAGACAGGCAGAAAGAAAATAATAACCAGCTTTTTCCCAATTTCGTTAGAAAAGTGCTAAAAAATAGGTAATAACGAAAATGAAAAAAAAAAACGGGAATAATGTCAGGATTGAGGTCCTGGTTTACTATTATTTTCTTTTTCATCCTTTTTATCTTATCGTATAAGCTTTTACCCTTCCTTTTTGTAAGTACAACTGTTTCTTTTCTTGTGATAAATATTGTGCAATAATAAAAAATAAAAAAAAAAAATAAATTACAAGGAAATTTTTAAGTTTACACAATTGTAAAACTTTCCTATTTTTCTTTTTGTGTTTGCTATTTTGTTAAAAGGACATTCGAATATTCAGTTTTTAAAGAATTTATTATGAGAAAATGTGTTAAGGAATTTGTATAAAATTTTTTATAAAATCATCTTAAATCATCGAGTAATCAATAAGATTTAATGGAATTAAGGAAATCAAAAAGATTTTTTGGTAAAAATTGACTTAGAAATTTTTCTATGTTGCCCATTTGCTTTCCATCAGAGCTTCTTTTTCTAAAGCATTTAAGGAAGAAAACTACAATATTATAGTCAGAAATATTTTAGTGAGAGAATTTAAATTTAACACATAAAATTTTTATTAATCCTCTTAAGATAGCAAACCTTGAGCAATTAATTCTGTCAAAATTACCGATACTGATGGTTAAAAAAACACAAAAAGTTGACATGTTTTTTGACAGCTTCCCAAAATTTAATATTTTCGGTTTGAGGCGCAATAGGTTCCATGGAAATTTTATAAAAACAAAAATTTGATAGTAATATTTTATCGCCCCCTAAATCTATGCAATTTTGTATTATAATAACGAAATTATTTCAAAACGACATTTTCACTGATTGGACCAAAAACTACAAAGGCATCATTTCTTTAGTTTAATTCTTAAAAGAAAAATGTTCTGTTTTACAAATCCTTAGTTTAACTGGTTGTTATTTTTTTCATGGTCACACTTGCTTTGTCAATGCATTTATGTATAAAAATAATGAGAACGTTCAAGATGAATTTTGATGACATTACTTAGTAAGGTGGTAGAGTATAGATTTTATCGGAAGAAATACTAAAATTGATCAAAATCTAACACAAATGAGAAAAATTGCTTGATTCTTATAAAATATTTTCCAGAATAACAATGATCAGGATATGGTTATACATTAAGAGAATAATAGAAAAGAAATAAATATTAAAAATATAGAAAAAAAATTGTACTTTTGCTTTCAAATAAAAAATTAAAAAATATTCACTTGAATTGTTTTTATGAATTTTATTTTGCATTAGAAGCAAAATAAAAAAAGGATACTTTCATTTCACATAATGACATTAAAAAATTGTTCAATTATTAAAAAGTTAAGATATAAAGGATTAGTGAAATAGAAAAAGAGAAAAATTATTAAAACAATTGCTGTGTTAAGAAACCATTTTTAAATGAATAAAATAAGAAAATAAAAAATTTTATAATTGATTTCAAGTGAAAATTTTAAAGATAAAAGTTATTGTACTTCAGTGTTTATTTAAGTGCATTGAGATTTGAAAATTTTTGCTTTTTTTAAAAATTTATTGAATATTTAGTAGAATTATTTTACTCTAAGATTATAATAAACTTGTAAGAGGACAAAATTTTTCCATTACAGTTTTAAAATTTTGTAAATCTAGAGCAATTTTTTTGATTTAATAATTTGAAATTTATTATTTAAGACTCTTTCGATTCATTTAAACTAAATTACAAAAAACCCTTGAATTTATTCGATATGCATAAAAACTAAGAAATTTTCAAATTTATAAATACAAAATTCTTCATTAATAATTCAATTCCGACTAAATACTTCTTTCACAATGTGATTTAGATTTCCCAAACTCAGACTTAACGAAGCCAAGTTTAAGCTCTAGATTTAAATTGTTAAAAAGCATAGTGCGGTATTACAAATCATTCGACGGATTTGTCTACAGGACAATAGATACTTTTTCGAGGACAAATTTAATACAATAGAATTGGTGGAAAAACTCATATTACTCCCACTTTTTCTTATACAAAATTTTATTTGAAAAAAAAATTATTTATTTCCTATTTATATACATAAATACTTACAATCAACGCTAACTTTTATCCTTTTTGATACTGTTGGTGGTACACCATTTGATGCTATACATAAATATGCACCCATATCTAATCTTGATATTTTAATTATATCTAATGTATCACCATCCCATTCAGAAACTATAATTTAAAATTAAAATAATTGAAATATTAATAATTGAATTTAATTATATTAAAATTTATAATATTCATTATGGAATTTAATTTAAAATTTAATTATATTCTAAAAATTTTTAATATAATTATTAATGAATAGGAGCTATTAAAATTTGCAAACACTTAAAACTATAATAACAAATAATTAAATTATATACATATGTACATACTTGTATAATATAATATATGGCATGGATTTTTTAAGGATAAGGTTTTTCAATATGTAAACGTACCTGAATGATTTTTATTTAATGATATTCTTGAATTATCATCACGTTTCCATTTAACACTTGGTAAAGGACTTCCAGTTGCTCTACATCTTAATGATATATTTGCACCTTCTCTAACAATAACATCACTCGAACTAAGTGAATCATCAATATTTGGTGGTACTGAAAATTCAAAAAAAAAAAAATATTATACAATTGTAAAATTTAACAGAATTGCAAATCATTTAAAAATAAATTTGGCAGGCTATAATCCAAAATACTTAAACAAAAGTAATAATATAGGATATTCGTTATAATAACTCAAAAGTTTGCGTAAAAAATTCAGTCAGTTCTGGAACAGATTTCAAAAAAACTAATAAGATTTCTTTGATTTTTACTGCAGTTTTGAGGGTTATTAGTACGCCCAGCAAAAGAAATTCGGACACTAGACCACAACACCCAGCCGTGACTTATAAATAGCCCTCCCATATCCCGGTCATAGTACACCGTTTCCAAGCAAATATCTAGAGATATCTCTCAGGCAGTTCGGCGTGCGCTCCTCGCCACTGATAATTTCCCGTCCAAACCATCTGCTCCTGCTGACGACCAGAGCAGAAAATTCACAAAGAATATGTATGGCCGTCTCCGTTTCGACAGAATCTACACAACAGAGAGTCCGATTTGCCCAGTTTCTGAAAGTAATATTTCACCGGACAATGCCAATCAGAACGCCAAATCTGTTTCTAATGGTAGACACTGATAGTTCGCAGAAGAAGACATGCCGAACGAAGGAGATTTCATATCCCTTCCGTTTCAACTAGTTTCTAATCTTATTGTTCGTAAATTAATTTTGTATTTATGTAATTATTTATAGTTCAGTCATTATTTAGCTTTTTCGTTTCAATTCGAACTCAGGGAAAACTTATATTTCATAAACTTTTTAATGACTCTAATTACCATATTACTTTTCAAATATTAAGTGTCCTGTGAATTGCAAAAAAAATATTGTAATTTATTATTTTTAGGAAGTCATAAAATCGATAAAATATAATTTTAAAAAAGTTTTCTTTTTTTTTTCCAAACCTCATAAATAATCTGAGCAAGAACTTAATAATTAAATTTCACATAATAAAATTTTTGAATAAAAAGGATAAAAGAAATTTCAAAATTTTTTATTCTGTTTTTTTATTTTTATTAAAATGTAGGTGTATTTTGTAAAATTATTTTTTTCTTAAGTTTTTTTGTTTAATTATAGTCATTAAATCCTTGCGAATTTATGTAAAATTAAATCAATTACAATACAAACAAATAATAAGAAAATTATTTGTTTCTACACAAAATATTGGGGGCTCAATGTAGAGTCTAAAGTGATTTTATGGAATTTCTAAAATATTTTCACAAGTAGTTAGGTTTTGGCTCTCATTTATTCTTACAAACCATATTGATTGATTGTGTGGGATGGGCACTTCATGGTAACAAATCGACAGCCCTCATATCAAAATCTTAAAGTTCTGCTAACCAATTCTAGTTAAACCTGATTAGCATAGCATAATTTATTAGATAAAATTCACCTCTATAGTACTGTCACCTTGTATAGTTCTTAAAATTCGCCAAAATATCGGAAAATTCGGCAAAATGCCAAATTTAATTGTCAAAGCTTTTTAATTATTTTCGAAGCTTTTTATTCTAAAAAGAAAAATTTCCACTAACCTAAATCCCACTGTAATCACTTCAAATTTTTTTATTTGTGTTGCTTTATTACTATATTATTTACTGCAACTAAATAAGAAACTATTTTTTACACACATATAGAAACAAGCATTACAGTTTTTTTTTTATTTTGTTGATTTATATTTTCTTTTAACTATCTTTTAAAATAATTTTCATTACCTACTTAACATTCAATTCTATTATTCCATTATACTCGTATATCACTATGTGTACATACAAATATATAGATGAAGAAGAAAACCCGAAGAAAATAACCTTGTGAAAGAAAAAGCCAGTTAATCTTTTGCAAAAACTTTATTAAGACTTGTTGAAAACATTACATTAAAAAAAAGTCAATTTACTTTGTATATATATGGCAAACTCATTTCTACTTTAAGTATTCATATATACAGCATGTTTTGCATGAGATTGCAAATAATTCCAGGGATGGTTCTTTGATCAATTCCAAGCAAAAATTGTATGGGTGGGATGGGTGCCGATATACTCGATTTCGAACTACACCCCTTTAAAAAAAAAGATACTAGATTTTTCCTGCATATAAATGAATATTAAAAACTTTGGAACCATACGACATACACTATCAGGGGCATCATTTACAGGCGATTGATTGTTCTTTATTTTCAGTGTTACAATTAGATTTGAAATTATTGCCATTTTATGCGAAACACCCCGTATACTTTTGTTGTGTATTATTGTAAACGCATTTATACATATATATAAATTATATTTGGCAGAAATAAATACAGGGACACAAAAAAATATTTTCTAAATAAGAATAACCACAAAGTAAAACCTTAAATAATAAAAAATGAAAAAGTGAAAAGAAATCTCAGTTAAACTTTAAAAAAGTTTTTTTTTTCATTTCGTTTTTTTTTTGTTTCCTTTTGCAAAGGTTTTAATAATTCACCTTTTTAATACCCAATTCACACATGTGTACAATGATCTCAACCAGAGAATTTTCTCTTATATTTATATATAATATGTATATAGAAATAATATATAACTGTAATCTCATATAAGGTCTATTAAGACCAAAAAACTGAAAATTAATATTAAATAAGTGAAGTAATGAAATTAAGCACTTAGGAATAGGTATAAAATTTTGGTTGAATATTTTTCTTATTGATAAAATGCCATAACAATAAGAGAAATTTTACTGTCATACAAACTTGGAACATTGCACTATTATCATAATACAGCGGAAGAACATAGCTTGTATTATTCCAAACATTACTGATAAGCTCTTAATAGGGAAGAGGGTCGAATATAAAACGTTTAGTCAATTGATACGAAACGTATCATTTATACGATACGAGGAAATTTCAAGAAAATATTATTGTACTTTACTTACAAACAATCTCCAATAAGAAACCATCCAGAAATTATTGAAAATAATTTAACATCTAAATTGTAGCTGGCAAACAAGTTTGATAACAATTGTGATTTATGAGTAATAAATGCAAGAGAGAAATTTTTTAAATTTAAATTTTATCAAAATATACAAAAAACTTTTAATTTTCTTCTCTCATAAATTTAAATTGAAAAATTTCATTACTCTTTTCAATTCTCTTTTATTGTCATTTTTACACACACATTATACTCTCATATCTTTTATTTTAGTGTTTCTTTTACTTGTATTTTCAGCTCATATGTATCTTCTTGATTGTAGTTTGTCATGATTCGTTACCTTCCTGCACCAAAACCTTTCTTCTAACTTTCAATCTATAATGAATCCGTACCAAACCATAATATGGTTAAAAGGACAGTATGTAGAAGAACGACTACTGTTTCTTCTGCAATTCCTCAAGATTTATAAAATTTCATCTTAAATAACAAACACCTACATATTATACATATTACGCCCACTATATATACCCTACTCCCTCTCTCTCTCTCTCTCTCTCTCTCTCTCTCATTCATTTAGAAATAAATTTCAACTGTCAACTTTTTATATGGTTTATTTTTCTTAGAAAAATAATCTTATATAGGTTTATGCGGTACCAAACCCGGTTAGCTTTCTATACTCATACTAACTTACCTAAAATATTATTTTCACTGATTTACTCAGCAAATGTTTTTTCAAACTTTATTATTTGCTTAAAGAAAATTTCACAAAGTAAGAAAAAGTCTACAAGAAAACGAAATATAAACAAAAAACCTAATTTTTTTTTGTTTCCCTTAATATATTTTTTAAGGGTACGGGTTAGTGTGTGAGAAACTATATATACAAAGCTATAGGATATTTCATATAGAACTTTTTATCCCAAATTGCGTTAAAGTCTTGTTTTTATTTTGGAACAATTGGGAGAGGGTGGTATATAAGACGAAAAATATGAAAAAAAGAAAATTATTTTGTATAAGGAGGATAGCTAGATAGGTATACCTTTCATCATAATCTTTTAGGATTTCTTAAGTCAATATTAATATTTTCTTAGGGAGAACACATAAAACAAAGTATATTATTTTTTTCTTTCGAACAGGCTTCCTTTTTCCTTCAGATATATTATAATATTTACTATAATATTTTCAGGAGAAAATAATTATACCATTATAAGCATATATGTATAGTGAGCTTATGTGCCACATAATTTGGAAGTACAGTGTCTAGAAGAATTTTGAATTGGAAATTAAGTGGACATCTAAATTTTTACATTCTTCTTTCTTTGGAAATATTTAAAAATTACAATTAAATTTTTGTGTGTGATTTCCAGCTTTAACATGCTGACACTAAATTGAAGATTTGTTGAAAATTGATAGGGATTTTACTTCTAAAGAAATTAATTTTAAATTTTTAAACGCATATACTTTTTGAAATTTTCTATATGAATACAAATGATGCGCTCAGCGTATTAGTGGCCTATCCAAAATTTTTCCAGAAAGGAGTTATTATGTTCAATAGAGCTGTACTCGCCTTAAGAATTGTTTAAGTTTTTTCCAAAATTTAGTTTACTCCTCTTTTTACTCTATTCTGACATAAGTATGCCTTTTAAAAATTTTCTTAAAAATTAAATATTTAACATTGAATCTCAATTTGCTAATACGCTGAGGGCCTTAATAATTATTCCACGCTCATTTCGTTTCAGTTGATTAGCTAGAACGAGTGACCAATCAATAAGGCACTTTGTAGATCATTCATTCTGTATCCCAATGACACTTAATTTATAAAATAAAATAATTCATATAATTTTTGTAAAATTGTTTTCGCGCAGGTGATTTTTTTTTTGACCAAATTTTTTTATTGTCGCACTGTACACTCTTAAAAGTTTTTACATCTAAGCACTATGAAATTATTACGGAAGACTTAAACAACGGCAACACTTAAAAATAATTTTTTTTGGCTAACAAGAAAAACCCAAAATCCACTAAAAAATCTTAGAAAACCAAAAAAACCAAAAGTTAAAAAATCAACTTTAAAAGTTGATTTATGGTAGAATTAGGTACCATTGAATAAA